GCCAGCCATGTTGAACTCTGGGAGTTGAAGTCCACTCATCTTAAAGTGGCCAAGTTTGGACCACACTGCTTTAGGTGCATCTGGAGGGCCACAGATCCTCACATCTGCTGCAAAGTTGCACTCTTGAACAAAATCCTTAACATCAGGTGAAGCTCTGGCTGGCTAGATTGTTCCCTAAAATGGCTGGACCAGAGGCAAGCAACCTTTATGGTCTGGAACACACTGGAATTTTGAAAACAAATCATGGTCACCCTCACAAAATGAGTGTGACTCACAAAACACCCATTTACTTTCTAATGTGCTACTTTTTTCTCATGTATAGGGAGTGGGCAGACCCTCTTCCAGTCAAGCATCAGACTGGAACCCTCTACCCTTTTTATTTTCTAAGAGAGTCCATCTAGGAAACCTCCCTGGGATCCTAAGATATTACTGAAATAATAATTAACAAAGATATTATTAATAAGTTTAATGCTAGGAGACAACATTTAGCTTTGTAGCATGCCACTAGCATCCCATGTTGGTTTATTTTGTAACAGGATTTTTAAAAAATTAAGTCAGGTAGTAGTAGTTCTTTATTATATAACAGATCCAAAATGTACAAAGCAGAAAACTAATAAAATTGCTGAAGCTGATATCAATACTACTGATGGATTGAGTGGTTGATTAATGTAAATTTTGAACCTGCCTGATTCCAGACAACTCTGGGTGGCTTACATTTTAAACAAAAAACAATAACAACAACAAAACAATAAAAGCAGAAAGGAAAATCTTTGCGAAAAAAATCCTGAACATCCTGAAGGATACTAGACAGTCAACTCTATAAACTCTATAGGCAAGATAGCAGAATTTGGAGACCTTTAGAGAAATGAAATACTTCTGTTCTGACTACAGACACTGAAGACAGAACAAGTCCTTATAGAGAACACAGTGTAAAAGAAAATGGGCCATGGACAGAGCTGGGGTTTGTATACGTTTTTCTTATATTTCTTTTCTTGTATAGCTATGAATAGCATATTAAAACATTACAGGCATAGCTCTTCTAAATTTCATTATTTCATTTTGACTTGTATCTAGCTACACAGAAACTGGATTTAAGGGAATCCTTCTTAGCAGGCATCTTGAATCTTCTGCCTTCTTAAATTCTCTGCCTTCACTATGATCTGGCTTGATCAAATTCCAAACCCAGCAGAACTTGCTTTTGAGCCAGGTATGTCAGGGAGAATAAGGCAAATGCCAAAGCAGGCTGGCTATTTTTACACCAGGCCACACCCTACTTCCTTTTTCAAAGTTACATTTAGTTATTAAGCTAACAAGTCACTTATTTCAGCTAAGACCTTTGATTATTTTGTCATCCAAAATGTGCATTGGATAATGTTGCCCAATACTGACTGGGGAAATTATCTCCTACCCTAAAAAGAATGCAAGAAAAAAAAATGTATAAAAAGATAGTAAGCTTCTGCAATACTAATTATGGTTGGGTAACTGTCTTTCTACATAATGTACATTATAGGTAGTCTTCGTTTAGTGACTACTTCATTTAGTGATCATTTGCAGTTACAACAGTGATGAAAAAGTAATTTTACGACTAAGCCTCACATTTACGACCTTTGCAGGACTGTAAAGCAAAGGAATACTGAAGTAAGATCATAACCACAACTGTGGTTTCACCTGGTGATCGCTTCGCTTAACAAGTTGCCAGTCCCAACTGTGGCTGCTAAATGAAGACAATCTGTACATGAATAAGGATAGAAATATAGAGATCAATTGGGGCTGATGAGGAAAAAAATGATCAGAAACTACCAAACTTGGAAAACATAGTTCCCAGTCAATTGTAAGAAGGTTGGGAAAGCCTCTTTTCTTGGAGGGAAAGTAGGGAAACCAGAGGGAAAAATTGAATATACAATGAAGCATTACATTAGCATCGTAACAATAAAAACTTGTTTGTTTTGAAACAAACAAAATGAATTAATGTCTAGTTTTCAGTGCACTGGATTTAATGCAGAATTCAGTTTATACTTATTCACAAAGATAAGCATTCTAAACGAGCTAACAGAAATGCCTCTCCGAGTTACAAAATAACACTGTCCAGTTGGTCTCCTTATAATTTCCTTTTCCAGTTTGAGGGAAAGAGCACTGGAGCAATTAGGTACCACAACAAACATATAAACATGCCTTTTCCAATAGTTCAAACTAAAAAATGATTGATGTTCATTAAAACCCATTTTTACACTAAACACATCACTCTATAATATAGTAAGCGTGACCTTGTGTCAGGCAGCTGTAGATTCTTGTTCTTTTTTTGCCCACCCAAAGGTTTTTGCCTGCCAGTCAGTCTACCTATTTCAGCTGTCTTGCATCCCCCCCCCCCCCCCAACAATGTTTTGGGTTTTTTTCTTTTTTTGGCCCCCAAAAGGTTTTTTCCCTCCCAGCAAGTTTCCCTTTTTAGGTGTTTTGGCACCCCCCCCCCCCACCAAATGGGTTAGGGTTTTTGATCGATGATTCAGTTACCTCTACAAATATACATACCCATGTCATAATCACAACAAGGATGTTGCTCCAACTGATTACATTTTGGTGAGTAAAACTTTTTGGACATGAGACTGATTTAATAGATTTTTTATTTTAGCAGGCCAAAAAGGAACAAGAGCTGTGTTAGGCAGCTGTATTTGTTTCCAGATTTATGTAAGAGTATAGATACCCCAGGTCAAATGTGCATCAAAACCATCTTTGCGGCAGCAGCTGTTTGCTGCAGGCAACCCCCAATGTTAGCAAGTGCTAAAATAACAAACATGTTCTCTTGGCTGAAGCAAAAAGGTGAGAAGCAGAACTCAATCAGTTTTTATGATTGTTTATTATGATGGTCTTCAGTCATAGGCAGAACTGGGTACTGCAATTTCACAGTATGCACATTTCTGCTACAACAAACTGGCATATAGAACACTTTTTTTTCCTGGAAACGTTTAAACAACAGTACAAAACAAAAAATGACAAATGTTGGTGGACAAATGAGCTATGAAAGCTTTTGAAATAGTAAATTGAAAAACAGAAGTTCAGCAATTTAAATGTACTACTTGTGACACTTCAGTAGACATGAACTCACCTGATTGTTAAGCGATTTGTTTTCAATTGGTGTCCAAGAACTGAATCGTGTATGCAGGATTTCCATTGTCTGATTCTGATTTGGACTCTTTTTGCCTCTTGTAGGGTATCCTAAGCTTTTCAAATGTCACCATGAAGTGCATATATTGTATAAACTATAATTATTCAAGTAGTGGTCAGTTTCCTCTGCTGTTAATTCTGCGATGTACATCAAATAGATTCCTATTAGTGGCTACATAGAAATGGAATAATGGTATAACTTTCTTGCTCAAGAGTAAATGTTGAGTTCTAAATTCAGCTAAAATCTGCATCCTAATCACAAAAGCTAGGAAAGCAAGCCAAATGTTTGGATTGTGCCTTTAGTTTCTTCTAGATATTCTGGTGCCCCTCTATTTTTGTAATATTTATCTGGTTCTAAAAGTATAATAGGACACACAGAAAGTTTGATATTTATGCCATTAATGTTGTGGATTATTATTAAAGATGGACTAGTCTTTGATTAAAATGGGGCAAAGCTATGAAATAGAGGCAGTTTGTTGTTGCAGGCACCAGGCTAGAAACCAGGAAATCAAGAGTCCTAGTCCTGCCTTAGGTACAATGCCAGCTCTGTGGCTCTGGGCCAGTCACTGTCTCAGCCCTAGGAGGAAGGCAATGGTAAACCACTTCCAAACATCTTGCCAAGAAAACTGCAGGGACTAGTCCTGGCAGTCACCAGCATCAAAACTGACTTGAAGGCACATATAGACATACAAAGCTATAAAAACATGGATTGATTTGTGTAGTGTATGTTGGCCTTCTACAACTTGACAGATATGGTGGGCCTACAAAACCCATCATCCCCCTATCAAAAAGGGCATTCGTTGTACAAGCTGTGGAAAGGTTGCAATGTGCAGATGGGGTTGAAGTATGAATGCTAAGCTGGGGAATGCTACCTCATGGGCAGCCTCTATAGTAACTAGTGATTTTATCAGTATGAGCAGATATACATTTTACATATTCCCCTATATTGTATGACTTTCCTTCCCTGTATTCATTTTCAAATATTCGTTGAATCTCTGTCGATCCATGTTGAGTGGGACATCAACATCAGGTAATTCACATTATTATGATTTGGCAGCATGAGAAAATGTGGTAATATTTTAATTTATCCTCAGTATTAGTAACTGGACTGAAAGTTGGTACTTCCTGATGTTATCATGTGATCTTTACAAAGCAATCCTTATCTACCTTTACATTTACTTTTAAAATGTTATCATTATTTTCTCTGAAGCTATTTCCAAGGCTTATCTTAGATTTTTGAATAGGAATCTTCCCTACTTGTTAAGATATAGCACATTCTCTACAGTTGCACCATCAATCATTAGCAACTGTACAAAAAAGTTTTCAAGATCATCATGCCAAGGGGAAGCATCCCCCTTACGTCAGCCAAGGAACAGCTGCAGGGAACTTCCTTAGGGTCGCCTGGCCAGATGCACCGCTTTGGTTCCCCTAACAGTTATCTTGGGACTAGCAAGTTGTAGAACACTTGGGGCCTCTTCCACCACATATGGCAATTCTAGCCCCATCCACTGGCCTTCAGGAAAAAAACCCCACAGATTGCAAGCAAAAACTCCAGGAAGGGAAGAACAACCTCGCTTGAAATACACACACATGCCAGCATATTGCTTATTGCTAGGTTTTGGCCTTGAAGAATGGAATGCCTTCTTTCTTTCACTCCATCAGTTGTGAGTTTCGTCTTTCTAGATCAGGGTTCTCCAAAGTGGTCAATATTGACACCCCAAGGGTTGATGGGACTATCCATGATTGTCGTTATTATTTGTAGTACTATTAGTTAAAGTAGTATTTATTAAATTATTTTCATTTAATGTTTGGGGGTCAATGAACAATCTGAAACTTCATGAAGGGATCGATGAGCTGAAGGGTTTGGGGACACCTGTTCTAGACTGTGTACCTGAGAGGGCGGACTCTTCTTTTTTCACTTTAAATGAACTTTTGAGGAACAACTGTTTAAAACATGGGGTGAAAATGCAGGAAAAAAGTCAATGACTACTGTGTGTGTGTGGGAGGGGGGAATCAAACACTAAGCTGTTATAGTTTTTATTAAAACACACACTTCCTTTTCAAAAGCTTTGCTGTGCCAAATACAAGATTTTGTGGTTCAGGGGAAAAAAGGCATGACAACACTTCAATACAAGGAAGAGAGGCTAATAGGAGGGATTAAAGCTCAGCAATATTACACGTCAGTGGAAAAGCAGAGGCAAAATCTCCCCCCCCCCCAATGTTCCAGTTTTCAACCTTGTTTTCAGTCTCTCTTTTTGCTAGGTTAACTTTAAAATGTTTTCTTCATAAATTTTATAAAGAAAACAACTGCACTCTGAAATGAATTTGAATGCAATTAGATTGACATGGAAATCTGAGTTAGGAAAAATCCTATTAATCTCTAGAATTATGCTACAAATTAAGCTTTTGTGCATTAATCTCAAGATTAGCACTATGACAGATTTTCTTCCTTTTTAGTCTAATACCAACTTCTGCAGTTTCTGAAACACAGCACACACACTACACCTCCACCCCCCATTATTCTACCCATCCATTCACACATTTGAACAAAATAAGTAATTACAGGGACATTTACTACTTTACCTTAAAAAGCAGTGGATCCTTCCCTTCTGAGAAAAGCCAGAACTGCTCTTGGCTGAAGATCTTCTCCACATCTCCATAGGAACCAATGTACACAATACAACACACGTTGGGCTTTCAGCCAACACTGGCTAACTCAGGACCAGAGGAAAATATTCTTTGTCCACTTTGAATCT